TGCTTTGGTGGCTCAGTCGGTAGAGCGTCAGTCTCATAATCTGAAGGTCATGAGTTCGAACCTCATCCAGAGCATTTTTTTTAAATATCAAATTTTATTACTTTTGTCCCATATTTTTGTCAATTTTGTTTAAAAATATTACAGTAAAAGCAACAAATCCTTTAATAGCAACTCTTTTTCGTTTTTTGATTTTTTTTATGTTAGAAATTTGTTTCAATTTTAGCCTTGAAATTGTTGTATAGATTAACCAAATATACAATACTAGTTTTTTATATAATATTTATGATGTTTATTGAGTGGATTTTTAATCAGAAAGTTTGAATATATAGAAAAATTGATGGTCTAATGTTAAGAGATTTCAGTTGTATTTATACAGTTTTCTTAACGCTGTATTTCCATTAACCAAGTTGTTTTTCTTGCTTCTCCGTATTCGCTATTTTTTGCACAATAGCTGCCAGTCTTCGTAATGTTTTTATCCACTTACTTTTTAGTGAATCACTACCGGAGAGTTTTATCCTATATCCTTTAGTATTTGTAAAATGTATGTAATGAAATTGGTAATAATATAATAAATAAAATGAAAATGGTCTAGTGCATTTAGCTTTTCTAATGCAAAAACCTCGTAGGCGTAAAAAGCACAAGAAATTTCTACTATCTCATTTTCATACAACAAAATCAATTCAAAAAAAATGCTAAACATTAAGTGCGACTTTAATTTTCCTTTTTTTTTGACTGAAATTCAAGTCAAAAGAAAAAATCTTAAATTTAAAAATTCAAGCAAACTGTTAAAAAAAGAAAAAAATAATTTTGAAAATTTCATTCGCTAGAAAAAAAATTTATAATAAAAAAAACCCCTGTAATCGTAAAGTCGCACTTAAAGGGGTTTTACTGTATATATTTTACCAAAAAAACAAATTTAACAATAAATCATATTCTTTTCCTTTTTTTCAAATATCAACTTTTTTTTATTATCACCGCCTTGCAATATACAGATATCAATTTATTGAATACTTATAGGATTTCCCTATATACACACAACATACATCTTATTAAAACTTTTTATAATAAAGATGAAATAATAATATTTTTGATGCAAATAATACCTCAACGTAGACGTTAATTTTTTAAATACTCGAGTTTAAAATAGATTTCAGAATGAAAAGCAATTGGGTGTTTATTTAGAATGTCTTTTTGGAAACACAAAGATGGTATATTTTATTTGTCAAGAATATAAATCATGAATGCAATGAATTAGAACCGCGCCAAACAGTAAAATCTTTTAGAATTATACTAGCACGAGAGTACAACAAAATACAAAGCTACAAAACTAAATATCGAATTAATAGAGTATCTGCTTTGACGAGACAAACCTCAAACTATTCAACTATTTTAAAACTCTGAAATTGTTTGATAGCGAGCAATCAATATTTTCAAACGGTTCATATTGTTTAATACAACCAATTTTGAAAGCACAAATCAAATATCCCTGAACTGAAATATAATTTATATTAAATATTAATGAGTTTTTATATGCTTTCATTGCTTCTAGTATGACAATAAATATATTTTCAAAATTTTTAACAAAGATAGCTTTAGATGGATATCTGTAAAACCAATTAACAATGTTGGGTAATGACTCAATAATTGAAATTATCCAAATATTGCTCACTGCCTACTAATTAGTCATTACCCCCTGTTTTATGTTTCTATATCTTTTCTATTTAATCTCGTGAATTCCCACTTTTGGGAATTCAAGCTTTTTAATTAG